TTTTTGAATCCCAGTATGAAAACAGAAAAACCGTAAGCATTGCAGATTCCCAAGTGCCGGATAAGTAAAATATCTAGATGTGGGCGGAAAATAACCAAGCCTCCATGCTTCTGAGTTGACTCCGTCCTTTGTGAATGCTTTGTTGGATGACGGTGGTGCACACTTGAGCCTGCGTGCCGTCTGGGCATTCCTCTTAAAGAACTGACTGGAGGCTGCAGCAGCAGAAATTGCTGGCCTGAAATTTCCTGACCCACAACTTTAAGGACTTCATGCTTACCATTCTTAATGTACCTCTCTGCTCCTTTCTTAGTTCCTTTTTTTTTTTAAGATATAAACTTGATTTTTAATAGGATGCATGCCACGAATTAGAAAAATGCATGAGCACCAAATGGCATTAGTAGTTTTGCGATAAGCTGTCTGATAGAATCCAAAGGAGGAAACCTACCCTCTAAGTATCTCTAGATTGTGGGGTTTGTATTAGTTGCGTCACGAAATACAATGAAAAATGCTCAAGACGTTTTAGAACAGGAGCAGTCGAACACGTCTGCTGGTGTCCATGTGTATGCCTACCAAAGATTAGGAAAGCCTTCTCCTTTGAATGATACATCTTAATGTGTGGAAGGGGGGAAAAAGCGGAACATAAGCTAACTCCTAAATTAAATTGGGTAATAAACACACCATTGAAAGTGGGCCGTGGACAAAGTTCTGAGTTAAAAAGCAGCTGCATGTGCACGGAATGCAGTGGGATACATCAATTCTCTGAAGCAACATGTTGTAAAATTTTACTGCTTTCTTGTTGTGTTTTATATCTTGTTCTCTCCAGGCTTCGTGGACTCGACCAGAGAAGCAAGAGGTATAGCTTACCTGACCACTAGCCAGTCTTTAGTTTCTGAAAGCATTCTAGCTTAACTCACCATTCCAGTTCAATAACCAGACATGCTAAACTAATTAGTCATAGAGTTAGATTAAAGAATAGGTCGATAGTGGTAGACGTTACTTAGAAATAGTGGCGTTTTAGGATGAGCAAGCAAGCTGTGTTGGGAGTGGATGAACAAATCCTTATTACTTCTTAAAATTGGATCTTATTCTCTTGCTGGTGCTGGTAAAATCACATCCAGGTAATTATACTTACAGAAATAAATCGCTCCAATTCCCAGGCCAGGCTTTTTGAAATGACGAGATTTTTTTTTTCTTTCTTTTTTTTTTTTTTGACTCTCACCTGGTTGTTGTGGCTTTGGGTCATAAAGTCATGGAGTTAGTGGTCTAAAAACCCACTCAACCCTTTCCAGCTCAACTCATCTTGTTGCTCGCTTATTTTATAATGATTGGTCTTGGTAAATGATCACATCACATCCCATTTCATGTCAGAGCAATGCAGACGACATCTCTCCTTGGTTTGCCCAAATTGCTAAACACACATATGTCACTTTGATAGAGCATTAAATTTATGAGATTAGCATGATTTGGCACAAGCGGTTTTATGTTTTTTAGAAGTCAGTAGCATTTATCCTTTGAGCTTTCTCTGACTGCTTGCTTCAGCTTGGGTAATGTGGGACTTTGTTTGAAAACTGAAGCTCAATATTAATCTTAAGACTTTAATGTTACACACCCAAGACCCTAATTACAATCATGCTTATTGTTTTTTTCACTGATTTGTGTGATTAACTGACAGATAGTGAAATAAAAACCAGTATGCTTTAGAGGAGGTTCAAGGATCAAACCCATAAATATTTTTTTTAAAAAAAAACTAGCTTTTGTCTCTTCTCCAGAGGAAATTTTGATATTGTAATAGTGTAAATGTAGACTGTGGCAATCCTATACACTGTATTTTAATCAGGGAACCCTATGCCCTTAGTCTTCCAGAAATGATAATTATTCAGAACACATAACTCCTGTGTTCAGGTCGTGGCTATAAATCATTAATGCTGTTTAATATTGAGGAGTTGCCTGCCTGTCCCCAGGCATGGATCCTAGTTTCTGCACATGAGCACACTGTGTCGTGATCACACAGTGTCTGATAAGCTCACTTTGTATCCTACCTTCTTCCTTGTCATGGGGACTGTAATCAAGCGCCCATCTTGCTGCAATCCCTCCCTCCTACGGCACAGAAATTGCTTCGTGCTGTCCCAGGCTGTGGGTGTTGCATTGCCCCAAAGTCACGGACCCATCCGGGATTGGGGAAGGGAGAGAAGGAGCGTTCATTATCGGCCACTTCTGAGCAACTACAGATCTCATTCTATTTGGCCTTCGGCTTCTCCCCCTGTCATTCCGATTTAAACCTGGCTGGAGGGGGAGGGGAGATTTCTCAGGGAGCATTAAGGGATGTTAAGAGAATTACTGTTATAAGTGGAAGTAATAGGTTTACTCCCAAGAAAGCAGACAACTCACTTCCGGTTTCCAGAAGTACCCTTATCTTGAGTATCTCACTCTGGATATAATTGACTTTCAAGTGAGTGCCGCCCCTGGGGCTCAGAAGTTCCATTCCTTCCTGTTTGTCTCTCAGAGATGAAAACCGTTAAGTCCAGATGAGCTCCAAAGAAGGCTTGGGCTATGGCCAGTTTCGTTCTGTAAGCTCAGAAAATTCACACTTCTACCTGGAAGAAGGAACGCAAAAAATGTTGATGAGAAGAATAACTGTAACTGCACTGCATGCTGTTTTTGCAGAACAGGGTCTTCTTTGTCCCAGCTCTCTTTCCATTCTTGCCCGGAGATCATCTGCTTCCTCTGCAGGCCTGAACTATCAGCACGACCCCTGTCTGGATGGCTTGTAGGTGGCACGCCCTGACTTTGCCTGGTGCCAGAGTAAAACGTGTCAGAGGGAGACAGTCTAATTGCACGGGAGACTCTGTGCTTCCCCTCGGAGGGAGAACTGGGCATCGGACAAATTCCCATCATCAGTCCTGTCGTGAGCCGCTGCAAAATGAGAATTCTCTGTAGAGGACCGTCTCCTGGTCTGTTGACACAATTAAATGAGAAAATTTTCCACATAGAGAAATTTAGACCACGTAGAAGGGGAGAAAAGTGTGGCTGTCAGTGAAACCACTTCCCAAGCTTCCCTTCAACCATTTTCTAGAATATTCCACGTAGACTGTTCGTGCCCTGCTTTGTTGCTATTTGTGACTGTCCTACTCTTGCCTACATGCCTCTCTTTGCATCTTTTGCTGTAGTACTGCTTCCATTGTGGAAATGTTCTCTTGACTTCCCAAAGATCTGGTCAGTTTTCCATGTTTGTGGGTGTTGAGCCCAGGACAAGCTCCATCCGTATGACAAACAATCCTAGTTCAGCCGTCGGCTGGTGTCACTGTGGGCTGAGCCTGTGTTCTCACTGAGATAACCAGAAGGGCAGGGGGTGGACCTCGAACCCTTTCTGCCTTTATCCTGTTGTGTTTGGGGCAGACAGGAGTGACAAACAGGTAAGGTCAACCCTTTAGAGATACTTGCAGGGATGCTCTCGATGCCACTAGTTTAATGGGTTTATTTTTGGAAGACTCATGGAAGTTGCCACTGGGACGTATTGGGACAACCCAGTCAGCCCACGAGAAAAGGGAGTCCGAAGATCCAGGGACCCTTGGATGTCTCAAGGCGTTCTAATCAAGTGTTCCACACCTGTCTGTTGTCATCTCTCACTAATGTGTGGCATCTCCTCAACCAGTCAGCCTTGCAGACTTACAGGTCAGATGGGAGTTGAGAGCCATGGGCGTCGGGCACTCCTCTGAGAGCGGAGTGGCCCTTAGGCAGTGATGATTTTGCTCGGCTCTCTGCCTCCTTGCCAGCAGTGGTGTTCCAGTTTCCAGATATGAACCTCAATGGGGCTTAAATGTCTGAGATGAATTAATTCCATTAGTCATGGTCAGAGGGACTTCTTGGGACGGGTCTCCATGGAGACGGCCCCACAAGGCCCATGGGACCTTGCTTTTGATCTGCCCAAACCGGCTGTGTGTGACATTACAGTTCTGGTTTCAGGCTTCCAAACCAGCACATCACAAGAACCTCAATGAAACAGGTGTTCTTTCATTCTTTAAAGGCCCGACCCCTTGGGACGACAGATGCTATATGCAGAGCACTCACCTGTCCATCTCCACAGAATATCATATGCTGGAGATAAGAGTGTGGCCCAGCCTACAAGGAACGAGACTCATTCTTCAGATTACCAACTTCCTTGAGGATCTGAACTTGGGCAGCATGCCCAGACTTTATCTAGGCCAGCAACCATTTCACTTCGAGTGTCAAGGCAGGAGCCCCTTGGAAATATTCCAGGACCCACTGCCTAGGGACCATAGGCTTAGTCCCCTTTTGACCAGTCGCTGGAATTCCAGAGACTCAGGAAGTGAATTATTGTATCAAGGGCTAGAATGCAGAATCTGGTGGTGGCTGCCTGGGGCTCTGTGCCACCATCCCTGGAGAGGGGACCCAGGGACCCTCACTTCCAGCTCAACAGCTCCTGATCATCAAGTTGTTGGACTTTCTCTTGAATGAAATTATTTCACTTTTAAGCCTTCAGGAAAGCGAGGCATCTGCAGAAATACAGGTTTCTTGTATAATTTCTTGCACTTGGCACATTCAGATTTCCCATTATGCATGCACGCACCATGGAACTGACAGATGGGCAGACTCCTGGAAGGAAAGCTTAGGGTGCAGGTTTCCCAGAATCTCATGAGGCAAAGCTGTCACTGATGCAATATCTGCCGGCCAGGCCTTTTGCTTCCATCTTAGATGTGCCAAACAAAGTCATCTTGGGGGACCTTGGCTGTCCTTGCCCCAAACCGATCTTGGCATGGGGTCTAGGCTGCTTCACATAAACTGGGTCCCGTTTTCTATTTTGGAGACACTCAAGTCCCTGTGGTGCTCTCCAGAGCCTCCCACACTAGTTGGGACCTTAAGTAAGGCACATGGGCACAGCTTGGGGAGAGGATGTGAGACTGGTCCCAGACAAGAGATGGCCTGGTCTCCCACCCCCAGCCCTGCCGCGGGCTCTCACGCTCTCTCTTCCCTCCCGGCAGACTCTGGATGGGCACATGGTGGTGCGAAGCCACGCCCGAGTGTCGTCCCTGACCCTGAAGAGCATCCAGTACACAGACGCCGGAGAATACGTCTGCACCGCCAGCAACACCATCGGCCAGGACTCCCAGTCCATGTACCTGGAAGTGCAATGTGAGCAGCAGCTGTGGAAGAACGAGGGGAGGGGGACCGTGCAGGGTCAGGCTGAAAAGGGACAAGAGCAGCCAGGACCCGAGCTGCATCCCCGTAGCTCTGCTCACGCTCCCATGTGGAGGCGGCCCGAGGCCGTTCCAGAGCTTTGTCCCCAGGTCATGCCCTCACACTGGCCCAGGCTTCTTACAGGCTCACAAGCCCTTCCATCTTCCTGTGCAGCTGACAGGACCGCGGAACCGGCCTGACCTTTCCTACGCCAGGGCACTGGCTCTGCTTAGGGCACGCCCGCCCTCCCAGGGCTAGGAGACGGGGTGTGCGGGGCTCCTCTGTGGTGCTGGTCTTCCTGATTGGCATTGCTGTTCCTTGCAGATGCCCCCAAGCTGCAGGGCCCCGTGGCTGTGTACACTTGGGAGGGGAACCAGGTGAACATCACATGCGAGGTATTTGCCTACCCCAGTGCTACCATCTCGTGGTTTCGAGATGGTCAGCTGCTGCCAAGCTCCAACTACAGCAATATCAAGATCTACAACACCCCCTCCGCCAGCTATCTAGAGGTAGGTCATGGTGGAGGCAGGGGAGGGGGGAGGAGGCACAGTCTGACTCTGGATAGGCTCCTATATGCAGCTAAAATCTTCTCTCTTGCTTCTCTGGCATCCTGACCAGGGGAACCATCGGCTACAGAAGAAACTGAGCCTCAGCCCTGCCCCTACTCTCTCCCTGGAGCCAGGTCACGGCCCAGGAGGCCGAGTGTGCCTCTCTCACTGGCCCCTTGGCAATTCTCTCTGGCTTAAGGCTGGGCTGGAGCAAATGGTTCATGCTTTCCTGGTTCTTTCCTTTACAAATTCATCCAATGAATAAAGATATGAGTCGGTGGCCATTCCATGGGACACTTAGAACCCACGAGTTCCTTCTTTCCAAAGGTGACCCCAGACTCTGAAAATGATTTCGGAAATTACAACTGTACTGCAGTGAACCGCATTGGACAGGAGTCTTTGGAGTTCATCCTTGTCCAAGCAGGTGAGCCCCCCTCATGGCTGCCCTACCCTGACCCTTCCTGGCCTATTCCGTGCCATTTGGTGACATCAGGAAAGTGAAGAGAGGGCCAGGGTAGCCAAAGACAGAGGGTCAGGAAGCAGGGAGCCTGTGGAGGCTCGAGGGTATGCATACAGGGCATGTGGGGAGAGAATCATACGGTGAGGTGGGCTGGAGGATAGGGTAGAGGTGACAATATTCCCAAGAATAAGCAGAAATGAGAGACATGCTTTGTGGCTGAGAGTTATGTCCTGGACCTGACTGGGCTCACCTGGGTCTCCGTATGTGCCCTCCCCACAGACACCCCATCTTCACCATCCATCGACCAGGTGGAGCCATACTCCAGCACAGCCCAGGTGCAGTTTGATGAACCAGAGGCCACCGGTGGGGTGCCCATCCTCAAATACAAGGCTGAGTGGAGAGCAGTGGGCGAGGAAGTGTGGCATTTCAAGTGGTATGATGCCAAAGAAGGTAAGTGGGAGAGAGTCAGCGTTTCCTTTAGAAGGATGGGTTGCTTGGTGTTGGGCAGACGCTCAGCCCAGGTCCTGGCACTCTGACAGCCCACTGGGGTGGTGTGGCCCACCACTCTCATCTGTTGAGGGTGCCACAGGCCAACACCTGCCGTCCGTTCATCCTCCTGTGCTGCAGCATCGTCCCTGTCCCTCTAGAATGAGGGCAGGCTGCAGCTCCTCTAGAATTGTTGGCCTTCTGTCCCCTGGTACCTCAGAACCTGCTTCTCGGGACCACGCCAAGATGGATGAGGCCATCTCAACCACATTCCAAGCAGAAGCCCTGCTTAGGTGCTGAGCACAACCAGAGGAGTCCCATCCAGCCCTGCCCTGCACCTGTGGGTGCCCTGCACTGTGGGTTCTCTGCCATCACCCCCTCAGTCCTGCTTGGCATACTCAGGGACTGTCATGTAATTACAGTATTAACCAAATAACAAATTGCCCTAGAGAAAAGTCTGCTCTTAAATCCATCCTGTGATATAGTTTCAAACTAAAAGTTTAGAAGATAACCCTCGGATGCCTGCAGTTTGAAGATTCTAAGCCCGGACCATTTTGCCCCGAGGATCGAGTATATAGCCGTGTCTGACTCTCCATTTGGGGTTTGATCAGGATACATCAGTGAGGCATGCTTTGTTTCTGTAGGAAGTTTTAATCCCGGTCCTGTCTGTAGTAACAGGAGCAGCCACATCCCAACCCGGTTTTACCGAGAATTTGTTTCACCAGAAAGCTTCTATCACTCTTTCAGCTTTTGGGGGTGGGGGCGGGGCGGCCTGGGAGGAACTTCTGTGCCGTCGGGATTGGAGCCAGGAGAAAATAATCTCTTTACCTCCCTAACTTCCCTCTGAAACCTCCCACCAACTTATGGCGAGTTGATCCCATGTCACAATCTGTCCCAACTGGCATTTTTTTTTCTTTTTGTCATTGCTACAGCTGGATTTCCTCCACCTTTTTAAATATATTTTTAAATTTAAGTATAATTAACTTTCTAGTTCTATTTTTGTTGTTTCATATGTAGAATATGAAATTTCCTATTTTAGCCATTTTTAAGTATGCAGTTGAACGGCATTAAGTACATTCACATTATTGTGCAACCATCACCACCGTCCATCTCCAGAACTTTCTCGTGATCCTAAACTCAGCGCCCATTAAACACTAACTCCCCATCCCACCTTCCGCTAGCCCCGGCAACCACCATTCTACTTCCTTTCTCTGGGTAGTTGGCTCTCCCGGCTGCTTCGGAAGAGTGGGATCGTACAGTCATTGTCCTTTGGTGTCTGGCTTATTGCACTTGGCTGATGTCCTCCGGGTTCTACATTGTAGCCCCTGTCAGAGCCTCGTTCCTTGTTAAGGCTGACTGATTCTCCATTGTATCAGCACCCCGTCCTGGGGGGTCCACCCACCCGCTGATGGACAGGCGGGCCGTTTGCCCCTTTGGCTGTTGTGAGCAATGCTCCGGTGAACCTGGGTGCAGAGGAATCTGTTCCAGTTTGTGTTTTCAGTGCTTTTGTGTATATAGCCAGACGTGGAACTGCTAGATCACATGGTAACGCTAGGTTTAAGTTTTTGAGGACCCGCCGTGTTGCCTTCCACAGCGGCTACGCCATTTTACCAATAGGCTTTCCGTCCTCGGTGATCCTTCTTGTCTTCTCACAACAGCCAACATGGAGGGCATCGTCACCATCGTGGGCCTGAAGCCCGAAACTACGTACGCCGTGCGACTAGCGGCCCTCAACGGCAAGGGTCTGGGTGAGATCAGCACGGCCTCTGAGTTCAAGACGCAGCCAGTCCGTAAGTACACCCCACACCCACCCTCTTCTCCTGGGGGGGACCCCGAGCTGCCCCGTCCTTTGTTCAGATGACAGCTTTTTGTCTTTCAGATTGCTCTGCTCAGGGAGGTCACACCTCCTAGCCCCTTGGCCCTCCGTGATGGCTGATACCCAGCCCTTATTGCGGTCTTTCCCAAAGAGCTTGGTGACACTGTCGCAGTAGCTGGCCTCGCTTGTTAGCATGGCAGCCAGGGAGGAAAACACTGGCGCCTCGTGAAGGGGAGCCGGGCAGGGACAATGCAGCAGCATGTCATGGAGGGATTTGGCAGATTTTGCTTTTTGATGCAGGTCACAAAGGCCCTAAAGCACCCCGTGACTTGAAGGAAGAGGGAAAAGACAATGATGCTTCGTGTAATTAGTCATGGGGTTTTTGAGGCAGCAGAGATATTACGTTATAGAAGAGAGAAGACTTGCTATGGGATGTCCACGCAGTAGCAAGACCCCAACAATGCAAAAGAGGAAGGAGGGCTGAGGCCTCCACCTCCTGTTCCCCTTCCCTCCCGCCATGAGCACACGTCAGGGTCTCCCTCCCTTGTGGCGTCTTTCGAGAGAGGCGCTTCTTCCTGATGCACTCGGGATGGCATCTGCTTTCCTCCATCATGCCCTCTTTCCTTACACCAGGCCTGCCATGCTTTCCCTCCCAACCCACCAATAGCTCTGGGCCAGCCCTGCTCCAGGAACACCCTCCACAGATCCAGAGCGCTGCCCTGGGAGGACCATGCGCCCACCCAGCTGGAGCAGGTGCAGTAGATGCAGACTCCTTGAGCGGTCACAGAGCTCCCTGGGTCCTCTCTGATTCCTGGGCTTAACAAGCATGCAGGGCCATCCCTCACTTCCTTCTCTTCGAAACCAGAGGCCTGCAAAGCAACCCCCCTACCTCTTCCAGAAACAGAAGGCCCACCTCATCTTCCTTCTACAGGAATTGCTTCTTTCTGGATTTGAAATAACTTGATAATTTGAATTTCCAGCTCCATGTGCTTTGCAGAGCCTATTCATTTCTTTTACATCTTTTTTTTTTCCCTTGGGTCTGTCTCTTGTCTTTTCTTTTCGTCTGTGTTCCATCCATGGGAAATGCAGACAGCTCTCTTCCACGTAAGTGCCTCTTCATACCTCATTATCTGTTTCAATAGTGTTAACATCGCTAGTCCTAGTTCTTAATTTAGTTCCGGTCCCTTTTTTGTCCCCTAGGCTGAAGTAGATGATACTGTCCGGGCCCTAACCACACTGACCTTAGTCTAGTTGTGCTCTTGTTAATGTCTGTAGGTTTTTACTCCAAGAGGCTAACACACGTCCTGTTCTAGAGCATGCAACTTTTGTGTCCTTTGAAGTTGTGTTTATTTATTAATTTCTGTGTGTGACGATTACCCCATGGCAATGCTGATGCCCGCCCAGCCAAGCACGGTGGGAGTCTGCAGGGGGTCTCCAAGTAACACGCGACGGCACCAGCTCACCTTCTGCCCGGATGCCAGAAAATGACCACAACAGCCTCACCAGGGATTCAGAATCCCTTCCCGGGAAAAAGCAGCTGAAGGGATTTTCACATTTGCTTTTAGGAGATAAAAGAATTGAGCTCATAGCCCCTTCCCTTTTCTGTCTATGGTGGCTGGAGGGCTCTGGGAGGCCTAAGCAGCAGCTGCAATTGTAAAGAATAGCATGAGCTTTGGTTCTGAGTCACAGGTACATCCTACAGGCAGCTGCTGGGCAGTTAAATCCCCACTTCCGGTCAGTTCTGTTCTTCAGCACTAGGTTCTTGAAAAGTGCATGTCCATGTTTGGGAAAGACTGACTGGCCACTGAGTAACTTCACCGTCAAGCATAAGACAGGGGAGATTCTCCATGGGAAGGACATGTAAGCTGTAAATAGCAAATATAAAGAGCAAGGGTCACAGGAGCCTGGCCCGCTGCTCCGGGGGGACCCAAACAGGTCTGATCTGGCCTGCAAGATGCCCCCAAGCATCACTCCCACCAAGCCCTGCCTCTCGCTTCCTCGGCTGAGCTCAGAATAGTGAAGGGGAGTATTACCCAGAGAGACTCGGAAGAAAAGGTATTCAGGAAACTGCACACTCTTTTCATAAAAAGCTCCCAGCTCCTGAAAGGCACTCAGGGAAGCTTATCTTTTTAAAATTTATTCAGAAATATTGCAGCAACAGCAGAAACTAAGTAGCTCCGTGTAGGCGTTCTGAGATTTTGAGCAAGTGCTAAATCCATGATCTCAGCAGACTTGGTTCCTGAATGAACCGGTTCTGGAAGGAGTCAGGATTGGGGATTGGGGATTGGCGTTGTCAGGTCAAGACTGACAGCTGTCTGCTCTGGGCGGCAGCTCTGCCCCGAGTGAACTCAGAAGGAGCACCTCTGACCCTGAGAGCACCTTCCTCCTGGATCCTTAATCTGAGCTTTGGTTTCCATGCTTCTGGAATTTATCAGTAAAGGGACGGTGGCTTAGTTACATGACAGAGGGGAAGGCTGATATGAGGCTTCCTTTTGAGTTTCTAACCAGGACCTGGGGTCTGAGGACTGAATCAGAGTAACTGGGTCTTCGACTTCAAAGCCCATCTGTGGTTTTCACTCATTGTCAGTTCAGCCCTTACGAAGGTGAGAATTTCTTAAGCAGATGCTGTGTTTTAAAACTCAATGGTTGATTTAAAAAAAGAGAGACCTCCAGGACCTTGTTGTTCCCTGCACCAGGATTCCAAGAACCCCTCTGGAAAATGGAGCCTTCAGCTGTCCATTGCTAGTAGGTCATGCGAATGACATGCAGAGTCAGTTTTCTCAATCATCTAATGAAGTTACGGCCTAAAGGATTAAAAAATCAAACTTCTTCTAAATAAGGAAAATTGTGACAGAGCCTCATCACTGAGTGCCTTTGTCAAGAACTTGAGCGGGTTAAGAGCCAGGGAAATACACAGAACATCATACTCTCACGAAAGTTGGTTATTATGGTCTTTCCTGTACCTTTGTGACCTTCCTAGAGGGGCCGAAGTGAGGACCTAGCCCAGGGGGGTATCTAGACCCATCCCGAAGAAGGATCCAGCTGGGAGGATGACTCCAGCACCTACCGCTACCATGCCACCACTCACTCACTGCTACTAGGAAGTTAGGGCATGTTTTAGGAAGGACATCTCTGAGTTCTCACTCCCTGTCCTCAGAAGACACAAAGGGTGTCTGAAATCAGGTAAATAAAATCAGCCATCCACTTAGCCGAGCCCAGGTTGGTTTTAGTCTCTGACATTGGCTCGTCTCGCCCACTGACCATGCTTTCCCCCCTATGATGCTGGGGTGCAAATTCACAGCCTGATCCCGTGACACTGGAGTTAGGCCCTAGGGGCACCCTCACCCCAAGGGGGAGAAGGTACAGGCGCAATAAGCTGTCATACTGAATAGAGAGTCACTGCTGCCAGGCAGCCCCCACCCCCACCCCTCACCCCCTACCTCCCACCCCCCGCCCCAGTTAGGAGGCAGTAGGTGAGAGCCGGTGCATCTTGCATAGTTTATCACTTGAAGTTCCTTGAGATGTGCCAATAATGGGGTTGCTTTCTTGGTTCCTTAATAGACTTAGCCACATGCAGAGGCATGACCGTGTCAAAGCAGGGATGAGCGGGTGAAACTAGCCAAAGCCACACATATCCCAGAGTCCCGCTTCTGAGCTGCCATATCGGAAAGCCTGGCTCACCTGTTTGAAGATTCCTTTGTGTGCAGCTCATAAATGTGTGTGAAGGTAACGAGGAAGCGATGACTCCAAACAAATAAATAGAACTCCAGCCTGGAAAAATGTCCCTGTTTCATGTATTTTTAGGCCACATGTCTGCGTGTTGTCATGAAGCTTTTAGGTGGAAAGCTCACAAGCTCTGTTTGCCTTGGGAGGGGCTGCTTCCCTATCAGAGCTGCTGAGGCCCTAAAGACATGATGTGACAGTTGACTATGCATCCTTTCCTCCATGATTGAGCCACGTACCTTCAGAATTTCATTGCCCGAATGTCACCTCTTTATTTGCTTCTGAACCATGAAGCAAAATAGACAATTTCTTTCAGGGGATAAAGATCATGAAGGAGTGTCTATTTTCCAAAGAGGCATCTTGAGGTTTTTGTCTTCACATCTTGCCCCCTAGATGGCACGTTGCAAGTGTAATATATTATGTTTCTGATATATCTAATATAATCCTAATATACTGTATTTAAAACACATAAAACTCTGTCCCTTTGCCAGAATAATATGGACAGTGATGCAAACAATTCAAGCCAAAAAAGTACAAGAGAAAGAGATACACTTTCCCCTGAATTTACCAGACCATCAAGTCACGATGAGCTCACAATGAGTTCAGTGGGCACTTTGCTCTGATTCCAGTGACACTCTACTCATGTGGTTTAATGAGATGCTCGATGCTTCATCTGGAAGAGAAAAGGAAGACTAAACTATGAGTATGCCAAAGCAATGTTGGAGATATGGTGACGTTCTTCCAGATTTTCATCTCGCTCTCAAAGGAGACTTTGTTTTGTGATTATTGATGGGACAACCTCTGAATATTTGCCAGCGAAAAACTAAAGATCTATTCAGTGTCCAGAATGTCTCAGATGCACCATTTCTAATGGTCCTCCAAGCAGAAAGTTGGGTTAGTGTTACTTTATTCAGTCCCAGTCTCTTCAGCTTTCCCTTCCTCCAAGAGAGCACGAGACAAACGCTCAGTGTTATTTGCGTTGGTCTCCACACTCACGGCAGCCTCCGGAGAATCACCTGCTATAGGGTTTTGAAGGGCAACCATGGTTATAGTATCATCTAGATGCCCAGCAATCCTGGATCTCACCCAGCAGTAAACGTCAAGTGGGACAGTCATTTCTGTTTCTTTGGGACGTTAAGATTAGAGAGTGAGGCATACAGGCTTTGCTCTAAGTATGTGCCCTGAGTGTAGACATAGTCCTGTCTAGAAGCACATACAGATATCTATCACATGAAGAGCCAAAGCCTCCAT